CCACGTTGTGTCGAAACACTTCATCTGTGTTATTTGCGGAACGGCTTTGTTGCGATGGCGAGGAATCTCTTCGTCGCAGTGATTCACGTTCAAGAATCTGCCAATTACTTGCTGGAAGCAAGTCGAGAACTAGCCGGTAGATCGAGCGACCGCTTCTTTAGCAGCCAAAGTTTCGTGGAGGTCGGTGTTCATCGAAACGTTATGCGTCTTGCGCATTCTTTTGTTACTTTGGCTCTTCATTTACTGTCGCTGATCCTCACTCAATCATACGATGAGTGATCAGCGAAGTTTGCGTAAGATCATTTTAAGGGTTTTGTGTTTGTTTGCTGTGATGTTATATTTGGCTTTCGTTCGTTTCCTCGTCCCTCCGTTACGAGGCGGCGACGGCGAAACGATGCAGCAGTTGGGGTGGGAAAAACCAAGCGAAAAATAATGCTAAGCTAGCCCAAAACCACGTATTCGTTAGTTAAAATCAACAATTCTTATTTACTTGAGCTAGCAGAAAAAAGCTAATTAACTCACTAATTGCTAACTCATGCCAAATGCTCCACAAAGTGCTCGTAACTCTAGCGAACTTTCTTTGGTCAAGTGATACTCTGGCGACTCGAATTAAGATATGTGAAATTGTAACGCGTAGAATAATAAACGTTTTAAACGTCTTTTCCTCAGAACGTTTCATTTTCGGCTCATCAGAAAGCGTGTTATCAGCACATCAGTGAAATTCCGCGCATATCTGGCAGCCATATGACTATTACATATATTGACGTATGTCGTAACAGTATGAACCGTTATCAAGAAGGGAACCAATACGCTAGACGTGTTTGAATACTCGGCTACAGACTAACCGATAAGATAATCAATGTTGGATTACTGGAATATGCTAGATTAAGCTCAAGTGGAATACACATCGAACACGGATTACGATTAAATTTCTCTGCAGCGATATCAGCTGGGTCACACTCGACCGGCCGCAGCATTTTCTGCTGTCATAGCTTATGAAGTTTTGCCATCCGTTATCAAGGCTTACGACAGTCTGGGGAATTTTCTCTGGCTTTTCTTTGGAGGTTTTGACACACCGACGTCTAACCACAAAGCAGTAGTGATATTGATGGCATTTTCCTTCACTTAGGCGGATCGCCGCTTTCGCCTCCCCGTGAGACTGTCGTTGGATGTTGTAAATTTTTTCTAACGAACAAACTTGCCGAGGTCGAACCCAACCACGCCCTGGTTGTCTTGTCACTGTTTGTCCGCGAATGCTTATTTGTCGTGGCTAACCCCCATGTCTGCTGGTGGTTCTAATATTCGCAACCCGAAGAAGCGACAGATGACTAGCAGCTAAGCGCTCTGGCAAAATAAACAAAAAACAAGCTGATACACGCTGTTCGGGCGTGCACTAAGACAAAGCGACGGACGGCTAATTAACGTCATGATTCGCGGTTTGTGGAATTCTTGCTGGAAGAACCGAGGGGTAGGTCAGAATCTTAATGATTGGATGGTACGAGGGAGGGACGAACCAACTGCAACGGAGCCGGGTCGCACTTATCGACAGACCGCAACCCGAACTTTGCACAAGGACTAATTCGCAATCATATAAGACGTTACAAGGATAGAAGACAATGGAAAATGGTGGCAAGAAGCCGGGGGATGTCGTTACTCTTTGCGATATCCAATAAGTCAAATTAATCAAGATGTTGGCAAAGCTATCAATATATGCTGTTGAAATATTGTAATCGTATACATTGCAGTTGCGTTTATATTGGGAATATATTCAAGACTTTTAATTAGTTACTGACAGTTACATGTATTAAATAATGGCTAAGGAATTATCGCAAAACCCAGTGAATCATATCCGACTGTGCAGTGCCTGTTAAGCCAGGATGAATGATATATCACGAGCAGGATAACCACTGTGCGGTGTACGATGAGAACTATCTAAGCAATACAGTTGCTTTTATCTCGGAAAAAGACCATTATTGTCCGTCGAAGCGTTGGAGATACTTAAAGTCTTTCACTGGTTTTCGATCGGACTACCATTGCGGCCAAAATTACCTGTGTCAAACTGATCATTAGCCAAGTAGTTTAGAATAATGGGGTATGATACGACCTTAACCTGTAGCATAAGCTAATCTTAGCCTTATGATATAACCTTGGCCTGAAAGCCATTCATAAACTTTAGACTACACAACATGGAAATATGTGATTGTAATAAGACGAAATTATAGAAATACGAACGAATAGGTAGAATAGGAGGAACTCGCTCAAACGGGAGACCATTTGCGATGTCATTGCTCGAATGAAAAAATTGAAGTGGCACAGGATAGCGCAGCTTTCAAGATGAACCGACCGACCATCTTTAGAGCAGAGAGACAATACACCGGCTTCCAGCAGTGAGTGAATGGCCGTAGAAATACCTCGTGATCAATGGTTGGACGAGCGGAAGAAGTTTGCTGAATTGAAATGGATTAGGATGGTAGAAAGCATATTAATTGCAGGGTTTCGGAAAGACCTTTATCCACCGGTGAATAGAAAAGGCTGATGAAGATGTTAATGTAA